AGCAGATCTGGCTCGATCCCTACCGCGTCTTTGACCGCTACTTCCGCGAGAAAGACGACAAGGATGCCGAAAAAGGTAAAGGCAGCCATGGATGGTCTTCTCTATAGCTAGCATGTATGTTTTTTTTTGCGGGGAGCATGTAAGTTAAACATGCCAAATTTTGGGAGTCCCATGGACGATATGTATAATGCATCGTTTATGAAGTCGCAAGAGTTCGCATGGATTTGAGATATGCTAATTGAGGTGTGCGATGACGAGAAGGAAAATTTGAGGTGTATGCAGTGCCTACAGACACGCCCACGAATATTTGAGGGGTCAGATTTGCCAAATCAGTGCTCTAAATCATGGAAGGAAAGACCCAGGTGATGAAAGAAAGAGGAGAATTCCTCGGAGTGGAGGCGGAATTGTTAAAAGCCGGGGGCAGCCAGAATATTTTGACTTTTGTTGGTCATCTCTCCATTGAGACGCCTTTAATTAGTAGCGCATTTCCGTCGGTCTTCGAAGTTAAGCTCCACCCACGGGACTCTGATTGGCTACCGGTTGCGCTAATTGCCTAGCTAGGGCCACATGATTTGACTAATCGCCATGGTTATCTTATGTGGTACCTAGCTAAGGAAGACCTATATATATGGTTGCTCGGCGACTTGTTCGTTCATTTCTAGAATCAAATATAGCGCCTTGATGGGGTGCCAACAATTGGACCGAAGGGAGTTGATTTCCGCCCGAATAGAATAGTAGGAGCACTAACAGTATAGTATAGGAGTACTACTGTGTTTGGGATCATCATGAGAAGGGGACAGATCGCAATGTTTAACGAGTTTATTTGTGAAAAAGAATATGAAAAATGGGTCGTCAGACAAGTTGCGGAGGGTGGCGCCCCCACCCCCCAGCAAGTTGTGCGTTGTTTAGCGTTTGTTCGCTCGCCATGTTCTCTATTCGGGGATTCGGATCTGCGAGGTCAAACTGCGCACAGACGTAGGTAGGTCCTGTCTTTTCTTTTTTCCTTTTTCAGTGTGTGCATGGGTAACTGCTCCATTGACAATCGGACGT